ACCGCTCCCTTCGAGACTCTCCACTTGGACGTCTGGGGCCCTGCCCCGACGCAGGGGACTGGGAGGGAGCGTTACTTTCTGGTGGTCGTCGACGACTTCTCCAGGTACACCACAGTGTTCCCTCTTGCGAAGAAGTCCGAGGTGACTGCTACGCTGATCAGGTGGCTTCTAGCCACTGAGGGCACTCGTGGTCGTCGAGTCAGTTGTCTCCACTCCGACCGTGGGGGCGAGTTTCGCTCCGGCATTCTCGGCGGATTCTGCGGCGAACAGGGCATCACCCAGTCCTGGACGCTGCCAGAGTCCCCACAGCAGAATGGGGTTGCTGAGCGCCGCATAGGCTTGGTCATGGACATCGCCCGCACGTCCATGATCCATGCCCGTGCGCCCCATTTTCTGTGGCCCCACGCGGTTCGCTACGCCGCACACCAGCTGAACCTCCAGCCTCGTGTCTCGCGGCCCGAGGCTTCACCGACCAGTCTTTGGGCTGGTTCCCCTGGTGTCGGGTCGGCCTTTCGAGTCTGGGGCTGCCTTGCGCTTGTTCGCGACACCTCCGCGGACAAGCTCTCGGCACGCGCCGTCCCCTGTGTCTTCCTTGGTTTCCCAGTGGACTCTGCCGACTGGTCCTTTTACCACCCTCCCCTCCACCAGTTCCTAGATTCCCGTGACGTCCGGTTTGACGAGTCCGTGTCCTACTACACCCGGTACCCCTGTCGAGGTCTCCCGGTACCGCCTCCCCCTCTTTTCCTCGCACCCTCTCCTCCTCCTGCTCCCGCTCCTCCGGTACCCCCGCCCCCCCCTGGTCCTGCCCCGTCTGGTGTGTCCCACGCTACCCCTCTACCCTCGGTCGCGCGTCAGGTAGCGTCTCCCTCCCCGCAGTCCTCCTCACAGTCCCCTCAGCAGCCTTCGGCACTTCCGCGACAGGTTGTTGTGGACTCGGTTGGTGTTGGAGCTGGAGGTGCAGCCGCTGGTGGTGCTCGGTCTGGGGGTGCTCGGTCGCGGGGTGCTGGAGCTGGAGGTGCTGGCGCAGGTGGCGCTAGCTCTGGGGGTGCTGGAGCTGGAGGTGCTGGCGCAGGTGGCGCTAGCTCTGGGGGTGCTGGAGCTGGAGGTGCTGGCACTGGAGGTGCCAGTTCTGGGGGTGCTGGAGTTGGAGGTCCTGGCACTGGAGGTGCTGGTTCTGGGGGTGCTGAGTCTGAGGAGACTGACACTGGAGACCCTGGTTCTACGGAGTCCACTCCGCCTCCCCACCGCCACGACACGCGTCTCCAGGCTGCCCGTCGGCGTGAGCGTGAGGAGCAGGAGCGGTTGGAGAGGGAGCGGCAGGAGCTGCGGGTGCTGGACCTTCTGGAGCAGCAGCGGCAGCAGCAGCAGCAGCAGCAGCAGCAGCAGCACCAGCAGCAGCAGCAGCAGCAGCAGCAGCAGCAGCCGCAGCAGCAGCAGCCGCAGCCGCCGCCGCAGCCGCAGCAGCAGCAGCCGCAGCCGCCGCCGCAGTCGCAGCTGCAGCAGCCGCAGCCGCCACCGCAGTTTCCCCTGGAGCGGCAGTTGTTCCCACCTGTGAGTGGCCTGCGGGCCCTTGGCTTTTCCTCCTCTCCTCCTGTCCGCTCCCAGTCTCCTCCTGTGTTTGTTCCTCCGTTGCCTCCTCCTGACGACCGTCCGGCGGTCTGGTCTTCTCCTCCTCCTCAGTCTCCTCCTCCTTCGGTCCGTCACGACTTGATCACTCGTTGTCCTCCGCGTGCTCGTCACTCGTCCCCTGTTACTGACCTCCACACTGCCCTCCTTTGTACGTCTCGTCGTCGTTCTCCTTCTCCTGTGTCCGTTCTCCCGTCTCCTCCTCCGTCCTCTCTCCCAGCCCTCCCCACTCCTATCACTGACTACTACCGCACTGTTCGTCCTGTTGCCGCACGTGTCCTCGCCACTCTTATCACCGACTCTCGTTTCCCTCCGTCGTCGGTCTCTGCTCTTACTGCCGCTGTCGCTGAGTTTGCTGCCGCCAGCCGCCTTGACTACGCCACCCGTGTGGTGCCAGCTCCTCCCTACCGTCCTCTGTCCGTCGGGGGTGAGTTTGCCCTTGGCTGTGACGTCCTAGAGGACAGAGAGTCTGAGCTGGAGTACTGGGCAGCCGCTTCTCCCTCTGTGTGTGCCATGCTGCTCTCCCCTGAGGGAGACCCCGACGCCCTTGACATACCGACTCCTCGCACTTACCGCGAGGCAGTGTCAGGGGCGTGGGCCTCTCAGTGGAAAGCGGCTATGGACTCAGAGTTGGCGTCTTGGAGATCCACAGGCACCTACGTCGACGCAGTTCCCCCTCCCAGGGCGAACGTAGTCGATGGCATGTGGCTCTTCAAGGTGAAGCGGCCGCCTGGAGCACCGCCGGTGTTCAAGGCGTGCTACGTGGCTAGGGGCTTCAGTCAGCGTGAGGGAGTTGACTTCTTCCAGACCTTCGCCCCGACCCCGAAGATGACTACTCTTCGGGTGTTACTCCACATAGCAGCGCAGCGAGACTACGAGCTGCACTCCCTCGACTTCTCCACTGCGTTCCTCCAGGGCCGACTGCACGAGGAGATCTGGCTGCGCCGTCCTCCTGGCTTCACTGACACCTTCCCACCTGGGACTCAGTGGAGTCTGAGGCGACCAGTCTACGGTCTCCGCCAGTCGCCCCGTGAGTGGCACGACACTCTTCGCTCCACGCTTCGTGACCTTGGGTTCAGCCCGTCCTCCGCCGACCCGTCGCTGTTTGTTCGAGCGGGTTCTACTCCGTTATTTATCCTTGTCTACGTCGACGACTTGGTGTTTGCTACAGCTGACAAGGCAGCCCTGGCTCAGGTGAAGTCCGAACTGCAGAAGAGACACAAGTGCACTGACCTGGGTGAGCTGCAGCGTTACCTTGGCTTGCAGATCACCCGGGACAGAGCCGCTCGCACCATCACACTGACGCAGTCACACATGGTGCAGCAGGTCCTTCGGCGGTTCGACTTCCAGTTCTCCACCACTCAGCCCACTCCTCTTGCTGTTGACCACAGACTCACGGGCCCCTTTCCTGACGAGCCCTTTGAGTCCAGTGGACCCTACGCAGAGCTGGTGGGCTGCCTCATGTACCTGATGACTTGTACTCGGCCGGACCTCGCCTTTCCCCTCAGCATCCTTTCTCGCTTTGTTGCGACTGGGAGACACCGTCCTGTCCACTGGACAGCTGCTGTGAGGGTGGCGAAGTACCTGGCGACTACATCAGGCATGGGGCTTGTGCTTGGAGGGACTCAGCCAGTGGCGTTGACTGGTCACTGTGACTCTTCCTACGCTGACGACGTGGAGACTCAGCGCTCGACTCAGGGTTACTGCTTCAGTCTGGGAGTTGGTGCTGTGTCGTGGAGGTCTACACGGTCGTCGTCTGTGGCTACTTCCAGTGCAGAGGCAGAGATCTACGCAGGTGCCATGGCGGCACAGGAGCTTCGCTGGTTGACCTTCTTGCTCGCCGACCTTGGTGAGCGGCCTCGCTCTGCACCGACCTTGTACGCTGACAACAAGGCCATGATCCTCCTGTGTCGAGAGCCTCGACTGGAGAGCAGAGTGAAGCATATTGACGTGAGGTACTTCCTCCTGCGAGAGCTGCAGCGACGCGGTCAGGCACGTCTGGACTTTGTGGCCTCAGAGGCCAACACTGCAGACGTCTTCACCAAGGCCTTGGCGCTTGGTGACCACCACAGGTTCTGTGTGCAGTTGGGGCTTGTTGAGGTAGGCCCTCGGTTGCTGTAGTCCTGTTGCTTGCTCTGCTTGTTGTGGTTTGTATTTATATCCTAGTGAACTCTTGAACTGGCCTTGTGGCCGCTTGCTTGCGCTCGGAATTTGTGTGGTGTCCTTGAGATCCACCCTGAGCTTGCCTTGGTTCTTGCTTTGACTGGTCTTGTGACTGTTTGTTCACCTTGCTTGCTTTGATGCCCCTCACTTAGCCTATGGGGGTGTGTCAAATGTTGAACATTGATATGATAGGCTGTAGTGAGTTGCACTCTAGGGGGTACAGCTTCTAGGGTTGCTTATTTGTACCCCATTCGTTTCTATTCCAATCATTCCGTTGCATTCTACTCTTGAGAACTGTTACGCGTACAGCCCGATTTTCGGACTTTGCACGTTCGGCCGATTTCAACGCTGCCGAGGCTCCTCGCGTCGCCTTCGGCATTTCCCATCGCCAAACCTGCACCCCAACCTCACTCGTCCGAGGTTTCCTCCTAGCTAGGCTAGCCCCTACATTAGTCTCTGCCTTCATTGTATTCTCGGATTAGTGAATCAAAGTCTCGTTATTCGTTTACCTGCGCACTCTTTTTTACAACTCATAACACAATCGGAGAGCTTTGTTTTTGCCTCACATTGCCGCAAGCACCGCCCACCGATTTCTCCAGCGCGCCCCGCCGCAAGCCGCTACCAAGGTGAGGAAGGTGGCTACGAGCCACGTCTGCCTAGCCGGAGCTCCGTCTCTGGTTGCTTATTCCGAGCCAGCCGCTCTGCGCACTCACCTCACCAAGGCTACATATCTCATCCACAACATCCCGAACCTCATCGTCCAGCCGCCAAAGAATCTCGGCTTGTGAGGGGAGAGGCTCGAGTGTGACGTTCGGTGTGTGGAGCCCAGGCGCCAAAGCTAGTCAAGTCGGTTCGGACGTGGCTGGTTTCATCTCATCAGCGACACGTCAATCTCTAGAAATCGGGGGACCAGGATTCGGAAGATCAAGACCAAAATGGGTACGCCTGTGAACGAACGAAGCAGGCGCATGAACGAAAGCAGCAGGCCTGTGGGAAGGGAAGGTTTGCCTGATCCTTCAGACAAGGATACTCGAGGTTCTCCTGCGTGCCTCTTATAATCCCCTCCGTAGCCATTGCCCCCATAATTTCAGCTCAAAATCCTTATGTTCAGCTGGTTCAGGTTCGCGTCTTCGTAGCTCTCAGATTAGAAATTGAGCTGTACCAGTTCTGAACACTTTGTATTGCTTGTTTCTCCCTGCACCTGCGGAACCATGACTGGCGCCGTGCCTCGCGGCATTCTGTCCGCAGCCATATCGTTACTCTTACTCGCAGCCGTTGCGTCTGCGCAGCAGATCTGCCCGTTCACAGGCAAGCCCCCAACGAAGCCCGCGAAGCCGCTGTACCGATGCGTGGCGGAGAGTGAGCTCGCGTGCTGCTCCGCGTGCGACGACTGGGTCACCGCGGCGACGGTGCTCGGACAGAACGGAACGAGAATTCTGTCGACGCTCTTCTCTCCAGGCACCACATTTGAAGCGCTGGACAAGTTCAAAGCCACGCCGGTAAGCTTGAACCAGCGTACGCCTGTTTCCTATTTTAATTAATTTGATTAATTATTATATATTTTAAAATTAATATATCGAAAGCATTTGAAGCTCTGGACAAATTTAAGGCCACGCCAGTAAGCTTGAACCATCGAAAGCCCTCGGCGTACCTTGTTCTTTTTCAAACGCGCCTTTGGATTCATGGTACCAGCGTTACATTGCCTCTCCCTTTTTTACTGTTAAATAAATATCCGTTCTGTAGCCGGTTTTATTAGAAATTTCAAAATCCGCCTAAACGCGTTTCATCCTATACCTGATTCATCGCATGGATCATACCTCCTCCCCCTCCCCCACTCCCCCCTCCTCCCATCCCCCCCCCCCCCCTCCCCCCCCCCCCCCCTTCCCCCCCCTCTTCCCCCCCTCCCCTCCCCTCTCAAAGTCGGCAATAGCCCACCCTTCCCCTCCCCAACCCTCCTCCCTTCCCTCCTCCTCCTCCCCCTCCCCCCTCTCTACCCGAGTTCGAAGGGCTTTACTGCGCGATAATGTTTGACGGCACCAACTTCTCAAAATCACCCCCCTCTCTCTCCTCCCTACCCTCACCTCGTTCTTCGACTCTTCCAGTTTTGCGGGTTCCTCGCAGGCGGGAGCGACACGTGTCTGCAGCTGATTGAGGGGCTATACTGCGCCATCATGTGCGACGCGGGCGCGAGCAAGTACCTTTCCGTCGAGCTCGCGCCGTCGGGGAAGCTCGGGGACAGCAACGGCACGATCCGCATCTGCAACGACTTCTCCAACCGCATTTACGACGCGTGCCAGTCGCTCAGCTTTCCTGGCGTCGCGCTCACCATTGCGAGCCTCATTAAGAACCCCGCGGTATGTGCCGCAGCTACTGCCGATTAAAAACTCACCCAAACCCAGCCATTTCCCACAGGAAGCTGTGGTCCGTTAGCCAACCTTTCCAGTCGCTCAGCTTTCCTGGCGTCGCGCTCACCATCGCGAGCCTGATTAAGAACCCTGCGGTATGTGCTGCAGCTGTTTGCACAGCAATCTGTGTTCCGTCCGTTAGCCAATCTTGCCAGTCGCTCTCACCAAGCTGATCAGCTTCCCCGGCGTCGCGCTCACCATTGCAAGCCTCATACAGAACCCCGCGGTATGTGCTACAGCTACTGCTGATTAAGAACCCCTCGGTATGAGCTACCGCTACTGCTGATTAAGAACCCCTTAGTATGTGCTACAGCTACTGCTGACTAAGAACCCCTTGCAATGTGCTTTTGAGCCGTCTCAAAACTCGTCTCTCTACCAGCCGCTCACCATCGCGAGCCTGATAAAAAAACCTCGGTATGTGCTACAGCTGCCAATTATGAACCCCTCGGTATGTGCTACAGCTGCCAATTATGAACCCCTCGGTATGTGCTACAGCTGCCAATCATGAACCCCTCGGTATGTGCTACAGCTGCCAATCATGAACCCCTCGGTATGTGCTACAGCTGCCAATTATGAACCCCTCGGTACGTGCTACAGCTGCCAATTATGAACCCCTCGGTACGTGCTACAGCTGCCAATTATGAACCCCTCGGTACGTGCTACAGCTGCCAATTATGAACCCCTCGGTACGTGCTACAGCTGCCAATTATGAACCCCTCGGTACGTGCTACAGCTGCCAATTATGAACCCCTCGGTACGTGCTACAGCTGCCAATTATGAACCCCTCGGTACGTGCTACAGCTGCCAATTATGAACCCCTCGGTACGTGCTACAGCTGCTGCCGATGGAAAGCCCGTCCAACCCGTGACCACCGCAAACTGTGTTTCCGATAGCCAACCTCGGCCAACTTTCCGCTTTGCTCCTTTGCAGCTGCTCGTTTGAACTCTTTTGTCATCCATAAATGATTCTATCATGTTTCCCTCGGATTCTCATTCCCTGACCCTTTTTCCTCCCTGGCTCGGCATCCCCCCTCGCATTCCCTAACACCCCCCCCCCCCCCCCCCCCCCCCCCCCTCCCCCCTTCCCAAATGCTGCTTTTCTGACCAAATTCCCCCCCTTCAATCTTACACTCTGTTCTTCTAAAAATTCCGCCATCGTTTAGCCTCTGCCTTTTGACAGCCTGGCACTGCATCCCCCCTCGCATTCCCGACACCTCCTAATAAGGATTTTCTTACCATTCCCTTTCCCCCTCCCTCTCCCCCTCCCGTCCCCTATTTTCTTCCCCAAATCCTAAATTTCCCTCTCCCCTTTTCCCCCCCCACACCCCATCAGTCAACACATCTTGCCCTCTCAGAATTCATGTCACTGGTTGTGCCTCCGCCTGCCGGCAATGCATCCCCCCTCGCATTCCACAACACCTCCCAATCATGAAATTCTTACCATTTCCTTTCCCCATCCCCTACCCTCCCCACCCACCCCTTTCCCCCCCCCACCAACCCTCCCCCTCCTTCTCTTTCATGTTTTTATGATCATTCTCTTGTCTTTTCTCCCAGAAATTCCTGTCACTTGTCGTGACTCCACTTGCTGGCACGGCAACTCCCCTCAAATTCCTCAACACCGAGCTAGTTCCCGCCGAAAACGGAACAGACAATTGCTTCCTGACGACGCCAGGGGATAAATTCGCGCAAACTCCCCTCTGCTGCGATAAACTAACGGGTTTCCCCATGGAGTGCCCGAAAGACCCGAATTTTTCCAACGTGTCGGAAGTGCTTCCGTTTGTGGTGGATCGGCCCGTGCCTGCAACGTGTGCTGCGACTGCCGAGCCAACAGCCTCAGCTTCGGCGTCACCCAGTGCGCCCAACCCCACCAATTCGACATCGAACAGTACTGGCTCTGGGGGAAAGAGCGCAGGGGTGCTTAGGGGTGGAGCGTGGTGGGGATGGTGGCCCACAGTGCTTGCTGCCCTGATGCTCCATGCAGTTCTGTTGCATTGAGATTTTGGAGTTGTTTAGAGGAGGGTTCGGTCAGGTGGACTGGATTTGATGCTTGCCTGGAGTGTTGAATGAGTTGCTAATTTTTGACTTCAAATGTAGGGTAGAATCAATTGGTTTTAGAGGCTTGTTGAAATCCATGCCATGTTCAAGCCAGCTGGCTCACAAGGACTCCTGACTCGTGTGCCCCTTGTCGATTCGCAATGAAATATCAGTTCAGTTGTGTAGTCCGCTACTAGGACTTTTGAAAACAACACACATGACTAAGGCTTGGTGCAACCGTGATAGTGTAGCATTGAGAGTGTAACCTCGAGAGTGTATCTCTCAGAACATAGCCCCTTTGAGAGTGTAGCGTTAAGGGTGTAACCCCACCGAGAGTGCAGCTCCTAGAGTGTAGCCTTGACAGTGTATAGCCCCGAGAGTGTAGCTCAGTGTTATATTAGTATTGTGTCTGGGAAAGACGATGATCCATTGTTGGGTGCAGGCTCAATCTTCAAGATGCTTGTTATCACATTGTACAGCTGCAGAGAGGGCGATAAGATGGGTGGAGAGAGAGATGAAGGAAAGAGAAAAATGAAGGAATGAAAGAAATGAGGGATCGTTGGGTGCAGCCTCGATCTTAAAGATGCTTGTTATCACATTATACAGCTGTAGGGACCGGTAAGATGGTAAAAAAGGATGAAGGAAAGAAAGAAATGGAGGATCCACTGCTGGGTGCAGGCTGAATCTTCAAGATGCTTGTTATCACATTGTACAGCTGACAAACATGCTTGTACCCCAGCCATGTGAGTATAGACGGTTTTTTCTTTCTTTCTTTCTTCATGTTTACTGGCAAACAAGATCAACTAGTGTCCATCGTGAATGTTGCCGAATCGGTGGCCGTAACCTAGGTTAGTTTTTTTGCAACAGCCCAACATTCTCAGGGGCTGGTGGGACACCGTTCTCCAATTAGAATTACGATTTCATGTATCGATCGGCCTAGGGTTTCAGCGTTCGTTTTCATTTTTCACCAGCGCCAGGATTTACTGCTGCGACTTCGCAATGGACACCTGCATATACTTTTTGCCAGTAGAAAAAAAAAAAAAAAAAAAAAAAAAACCATATTCTCGATGTCGCCATTGAGAATATATCTAAAGTCACACTAATGATAAACCCTAAACTAAATATATATAAAGGTGCCGTGCCTAGCCGTGTTAGAATGATTCCATGAAGACTCACCTCCGTGTTTTGGAACGTTGGTATTCTGCGGTGGGAGGAGAAGCGCGGCCCTCGGGCCATGAAGATGGAGCGCATGGAGGGAAGGCGGTTGTCGTAGCCGTGCATTCCGCCATCCCATGCTGACGAGTGGTGGTATACCACCGAAAAGCCCTCGTCTGCTAGCGCCAAGATGGCCTGGCAAAAGCGGAAATGGTTAAGGGTGAGAGGCGTTTAGAGACATTACAAGGAGCTTCGGTAAACACAACATACAGCCCTGAGAAAAATATGTTCCTTATCACACACAATGAGAAGAGAGCCCGATAAGTTACGCAGATTTTCACTGTAACCAGACAATGAGCTGTGAAGAATCGTCGAGATCAACACAGGACAATGCTCCCCCCCTCCATCGCCCTCCTCATAGCCCCAACCACCACAACTGTCTTTTGAGACGTCTCATTACTCACAGGTATTCTGTCGCTTCCCGAAAAGTCAAACTCCGCAGGAAATTCCTCCCTCAAATACACCTTCAACGCCTCTCCATTCACAATGCCCCCGCCCTTAATCGCCCTCCTCATAGCCCCCACCACCTCTGCCGCTTCCATCTGAACCTCCTGGGCGGCAGACCCTGGGCGGCTTTGCGAGTCTGTTTGCGGGAGGAAGATGCCGAGAAGCGGGTAGCTGAAGTCGATCCAGGCGGGGGATAGGCCCGGTACGAACGGCTCGAATTGCTCAATGGAGATGACTCGCGACTTGCATGTGGCCAGCATGCCATGGTCGCTCACTAGCATGATATTCACATCGTTGGTCATGTTCCTGGGGAGGGGATAGAGAGGTTGGGGGGGAGGGGATGGATTGGGTGGGTGGGGGAAGGATGGGCGAAGGGGGAGTTGAGACACAGGTGGAAGGAATGGAGGCCACTGGCACGTGCTTGTCAAGGGGACTGTGAGAAGGTGGAGGCCGGGCGTGTGCCGCTCGAAGTGCTCCAGAGAGATGACGCGCGACTTGCATGTGGCCAGCATGCCATGGTCGCTTACTAGCAGCAGATTCACGTCATCAGTCATGTTCCTGTAGGAGGGATGCATGAGGAGATGAGGGAGATGACTCGCATGTGGCCAACATGCCATGGTCGCTCACTAGCAGCACAATCACATTGTCAGTCATGTTCCTAAGGGGCGGATGAGTGGACGGGTGGGGGGGAATGGATGGATGGGGGAGTGCATTGGCAGGGATGGGGCGCTCACCTTTAATCCAGCCCAGTCAAGCGGCGCCCCAACATGCCATCGACTGCTTCACAGCAGCAGCGACCAGGGGCGCGTCGGTCCCTCCCACGGCGCCCCTCCAATCTCGCCTCCACAATCGCCACCTCCTCACTCTCCCACCAGCTCACCTTCTCAAGCGCTCACCTTTGGTCCAGCCCAGTCAAGCGGCGCCCCAACATGCCATCGACACGCTTCACAGCAGCAACAACCAGCGGCGTGTCTGGCCCTCCCTTGTGCCCACTCTCATCGGCCGTCTCACCTGCTCGCTCGCTCACCTTTGATCCAGCCCATTCAAGAGTCGCCCCAACATGTCATCGACCCACTTCACAGCAGCAACAACCAGCGGCGTGTCTGGCCCTCCCTTGTGCCCACTCTCATCGGCCGTCTCACCTGCTCACTCGCTCACCTTTGATCCAGCCCATTCAAGAGTCGCCCCAGCATGTCATCAACCCGCTTTACTGCAGCAGCGACCAGAGGCGTGTCCGGGCCTCCCTTGTGCCCACTCTCGTCTGGCTCCTCCAAGTAGAGTGAGAGGAAGGAGGGGCGGAGGGGAGATGGCAGGTCCAGCCACGCTAGCACTCGATCCACTCTCTGTGTGTGGGGGGTGGGGGGAAGACGGGGCGCGGAGGAGACGTGAGAGGAAGGAGGGCCCTCCCAGGTGCCCACTCTCGTCCGGCTCCTCCAAGTAGAGCGCGAAGGAGGGGCGGAGGGGCGCAGGCATGTCCAGCCACGCCAATACTTGGTCCACTCTCTGTGAGTGGGGAAGAGGAGGAAAGTGCGAGAGGGAAAGTTGGGAAATTTAAGACACACTTGGAAATTCGGGGCGGAGCGGAAGCTGCAGGTCCATCCAGGCCGGAATTGCATCCATGCTGAAGTTGCTTTTGAGAAAATTGAGATTTCTCAAAAGTAACTGCATCCAGGCTGGCCCCGCATCTGCCCCGTCCAATCTGCCCCGTCCATTCTACCCCATCCATTCTGGCCCGTTTGCTAGGCCTGGTCCATTCTCTACCACTACCAGTCTCACCAGTTCAGATGGCATCGACTTGTTGTATAGCAGGCAGTAGATAACCGGCACGGCCAAACAAGTCCCCTTCCCTTTCCCCCCTCTCTCCCTTTACCCCCCATTCCCCACCACCCTTTCCCCCCCTTTCCCCCCTATTGCGCCTTTCACTCCCACCCACCTCTTCAAACGGCATCGACTCGTTGTATTGCAGGCAGTAGTCCGACGGGCACGGCCAATTAGGTCGCGACACGTCAGAGCCCGGCCAAAACACTGTCGCCGCCTGCAAGCCCTGCAGAAGTTGCAACCAGAAAAGCAGATTGCCAAAGGCCGAAGAGGGAGAGGGGAAGAGGGGGGAAGAGGGATGGGGAAAGGGGGAAGGGGGGACAGGGGGAAGGGGGGAGTGGGGGAAGTGGGGAAGGGAGGGAACGGGGACGGGGAAAACGAGGAGCAGGAGAGGAGGGCTCACAGGAGTTTCACAGCGCTGTGTGTCACAGGTAACACAGTGCACCGTGGCATAGGGGACCTGCTCCTCACCACACCCTAGAGGACCCACGATCATGCCTAGGTACTTAAATCGTGTTTTGTACTGTTGTCGTGCCTAGGTAGCCTAGGTTTTGCAACCGTGCTCTGTATTGTGATCTCATGTAGTGCTGTGAACCTGCCTGTCTTACTTACTATAGGACCATTCGGGCGTGACCTCTCTTCTATTGCCCCTAATCTGTCTGTTCACACAAGCCCAAATCGTCTGGCCCAGCCACACCACCCCCCCCACCTCCCCTCACCTGCCGATTCACAGTGGTCCAGATGGGTTCGCCCAGCCACCATCTGGGGTCGACATTCCCAGGCGCGAACACGTCGCTGGGGTTGGAGGGGAGGCGGAACTTGTTGGCGATGATGCCGTGCGAGGCGGGGAGGAGGCCGGTTGCCATGGAGTGGTGCGAGGGGAAGGTGAGCGAGGGGAAGACGGGTAGCATGCCGTGCTCTGCGAATGTCCCTTCTGCCAGCATCCTGAGCAATAACTCAAACAGGGGAGGGTAGAGACGGAGAGGAGGCCCGTGGCCATGGAGTGGTGTGAGGGGAAGGTGAGCAAGGGGAAGACCGGCAGCATGCCATGCTCTGCGAATGTTCCCTCTGCCAGCATCCTAATGGGTGGTTAACAGAAGGGAGGGTACAGGTAGGGAGGTACAGGCGGGGAGGAGGCCGGTTATGGAGTGGTGCGAGGGGAAGGTGAGCGAGGGGAAGACAGGCAGCATTCCGTGCTCTGCGAATGTACCTTCTGCCAGCATCCTGAGGGACAGTGCAAATGGTGGAGGGTGGAGAAAGGGGTTGGTTGAGGAGGAGGCCCGTGGCCATGGAGTGGTGCGAGGGGAAGGCGAGGGAGGGGAAGACGGGTAGCATGCCGTGCTCTGTGAACGTTCCCTCTGCCAGCATTCTGGTGGGTGGTAGAGAAAGGGTTGGTAGAGGAAAAGGACGTGTGGTCATGGAGTGGTGCGAAGGGAAGGTGAGCGAAGGGAAGGTGAGCGAAGGGAAGGTGAGCGAAGGGAAGGTGAGCGAAGGGAAGGTGAGCGAAGGGAAGGTGAGCGAAGGGAAGGTGAGCGAAGGGAAGGTGAGCGAAGGGAAGGTGAGCGAAGGGAAGGTGAGCGAAGGGAAGGTGAGCGAAGGGAAGGTGAGCGAAGGGAAGGTGAGCGAAGGGAAGGCTGGCACTGTACTGTGCTCTGCAAACTGGAGCATATCTCTCATGCCCTCCCATGCCTGCCGCCCCATGCCTACCGACCTTTTCAGATGTGGTGTGTCAGCCTGCGGGTGGTACCCGTGTCTGAACCCGTCAAACGACACGAGGATCACCGTGGGCTGCCATCCCATACCTGCCCTGCCCTTCCGTACACCCTTGCCTACCTGTTCAAATTCGGTGTGTCGGCTTTCAGGTGGTACCCGTGCCTGAACCCGTCAAACGACACGAGGATCACCGTGGGCTGCCATCCCATACCTGCCCTGCCCTTCCGTACACCCTTGCCTACCTGTTCAAATTCGGTGTGTCGGCTTTCAGGTGGTACCCGTGCCTGAACCCGTCAAACGACACGAGGATCACCGTGGGCTGCCATCCCATACCTGCCCTGCCCTTCCGTACACCCTTGCCTACCTGTTTAAATTCAGTGTGTCGGCTTTCAGGTGGTACCCGTGCCTGAACCCGTCAAACGACACGAGGATCACTGTGGGCTGCCCGTCCAGCGCGCCTGTGGGGGACGGCGGAGGGCCTCCCCCTCCGTCAAACGCGGAGCAGGAGGCGTGCGAGTGGGACGTGAGGAAGATGGCGAGGGCGAACCCCAGGACGACTGGAGGGAGGGGTGGAGAGGGATGGGATGGGATGGGATGGGATGGGAGAAGAGGGGAACTGTGTGAGAGGTAAGGAATGGGGGAGTGGCTTCCTTGTACGTCCAACGTTTGGTGTGGGATGTGAGGAAGATGGCGACGACAGGAGGGCGGGGTGGGAAGGGAGAATCGGTAAGGCATGGGGGGGTGGCTTCATGCTACGTCCAATGCGGGGTGTAAGATGTGAGGAAGATGGCGCGGGGGAACCCCAAGAGCACTGGCGGGAGGGGCAGAGGAGAATGGGGTGGGAGGGATGGGATGGCATGGCATGGGATGGGATGGGATGGGATGGGATGGGATGGGATGGGATGGGATGGGATGGGATGGGATGGGATGGGATGGGATGGGATGGGATGGGAAGGGATGGGACGGGACGGGACGGGACGGGATGGGATGGGATGGGCCGGGACCAGGATAAGATGGGACGGGACGGGACGGGACGGGACGGGACGGGACGGGACGGGACGGGACGGGACGGGACGGGATGGGATGTGATGGGATGGGATGGAATGGGACGGGATGGGATGGGATGGGATGGGATGGGATGGAATGGGACGGGATGGGATGGGATGGGATGGGATGGGATGGGACGGATGGGATCAGATAGGGGATCCAGATAAAGGATGGGATGGCATAGGGGATGGGATGGAAGAAGAGGGGAAGGAGGTGAGAGGCACGGGGACGGGTGGAGTGGAGGGCAGAGGACCGAGTGGAACAATGGGGGAGATGAGGATAAGGGGAGGGGGATGCGAGTTGGGATGGAGGAAATTGCTGGATCATCTGAGATGGCGAGCCGACCCGGGTAGTGGTCCTTAGGAAATAGCCTGAGTATCTTGAGCAGGCTGATCAGGCTGGCTGGAAAGAAGCTGACCAGAGACGAACGCGACGGCATCATATCTGGCTCGCAGGCATCATAAATTGGAGTAGGCAGATATGATGCCGTCACAGGCATCATACTTGCACCATGGTTAGTGTTCGGGTTGTTCGGGGGTAGGCTGAGTAGGAAGGCTGGCTGGCAAGAAGCTGACCTGAGAAGAACGCGACGGCCATGACCATCGCCGCGAACGTCCCTAGCCGTCCCGATAGGATCGAGCGACGTGGCGGCTGTTTATGGCGGTGACCGACATACACGTCATCCTCCTCGCTTTCCACGTCATCGTCGCTGCCAGTGCAGTCGCCCTCCCGCTTCTCCTCGTTTGGAATTAGGCTGTGCTCCACCGGACTAGGAGACGGGCTGGATCCCGCTAATCCCGCCGGGATTTGCGCTGTGCCTAGCATAGCTAGCTGCTCGGAACTTCTCGGTTTGGACATGATTCTTAAATATCATACAACAGATATTTATGATACAGATGCTACAGGACCTATAACATACACAATTAGGAGTTGGTGAGTTTTGTCGCTTCAACGTAATATATTACAGCTACAGTCTCATTGACGTTATCTTTTATAACTACACAAGAGACAGAGAGACAATGCTTGGTGAGGTCTTTGACACGTCCCGGAACCCGCAATGATCTGCAGATTTACGGAAGTGGGACAAGATAGCACTTCCGAGACTTGCCACACCACCAGACACAATTCAGCTTTGGCATGGACCCAGCACGGACCACAGCGGAGGGGAAACAGAGGCAAAGAAACGAGGAGCCAAGTTAGCCGAGTTGTCGTAGCCAATCAGGTCAAAGAGAATCCAAACTTGCATCGAGGGGACGGTGTTACCCTGGTTTGCGACCTTGGGATCTCCAACAGTGGCGAACACCATAGACGAACTCAACGAAACATTCGAATTTTCCATGACGAACTCCTGCCGTCTGTCACGAAAGGCGAGGCGAGCACGGACGAATCGTTTTAGAAATGCGACGTCCAACGACTGCGTGCAAAGCAAAGTAACGCTCGGCATTCACTCGCAGGGCTAGCAGAGCCACCAATGTCACCTGAAGGCGGACCAGGTTGTTTCGGCGGAAAGCTTTCCGATCGTTTCGCGAAAACAAAGTACCCAGTTAACGCACTCGTTGACCAATCGTCTTCGCCATAACCCCCTGATGTAACAAACATTCTTTTCCTCTTCGGACACCGCTTGTCTCCCTTCTCCCCCCAAGAACGACTGCACCACTGTTCCCTGGTGGTACAGTACTTCAACAATTCACATATGTATTTGCTCCACATCAGATACGTGTCCTGGCATCACTGCTTTCATACCGACGCACTCACTATCGCGAATAATCAATCCAGCGAGTAATTGGCAGATGATGCCGGCTGCTAAGAGCACTACCTATCGGCGATCGCGACTCGGCCAGCAGGCGTCTGACGTCAGCGCGCGACCGATCGCCGACGAGAGCAGCAAGAGCAGGAGTGCTGACGTCAGCACGGGTGCGAGAGCGAGGGACAGCGATGGCACCGCGGCGAAAGTGGCGGAGTACGAGCGATTTGTGGAGGAACGATTGAAAGTGGATTTACAGGCAGCGATGGAAGACAGGTGCGTGAGTGTGTGGGTAGAGGCAGCTTGTAAAGGGGATACGGTGGCGAAGGTGGCGGAGTACGAGCGGTTCGTGGAGGAACGGTTGAAAGTGGATTTACAGGCAGCGATGGAAGACGGATGCGTGTGTTATACTGAGACAGCTTATAACGGGGATATGGGGGCGAAGGTGAGGGAGTACGAGCGATTCGGCTGCGAAGGTAGGGAGGGACGGAAGGAGGGAGCGAAGGAAAGGGGGGAGACAAACTGGTACAAGCCATGACGATCATTTTCGTTTGATTTGCTGGCCCTTGCGTTTTGAGGCGCCTCAAAAATCGGAGCGAGGGAAAGGGGGGGGTCACGCTGGTAAGATACCAGTCGTGTTTTGAGTCGACTCAAAACACGGCCCTTGCTTTTTGAGGCGCATACAAAATCAGAGCGAGGGAACAAGGGGGGATACGCTAGTAAGATTCGAGTCACGAAGAGCATCTTTGTCTGATTTGCTGGCCCTTTTTGTGTTCGGACGTCACCCCGCTTCCTTGGATGTCCCATGACAAGTCAAATTTGATGTCACAGAACGAGACCACCTGATGGGCCATCCAGGTCTCATTCTCTGCCGGTTTTGGTGCCTATGTGTGGTGTGACAATGCGTGTGGGGTTGTGAATGCATGATTGCTGTGCACGTATGTGTGTGCGCGTGTGAGTGCTATTGTGCATGTGTGAGTGCTTGTGTGCGCGTGTGAGAATGTGTGTGCGTGTTTGAGTGCTTGTGTGCGCGTGTGAGAATGTGTGTGCGCGTGTGGGTGCTTGTGTGTGTGTGAAAATGCATGGCGGTATCTGCAGGCACAAGGTTCAAGAAGAAATCCAAGTCTTGTGCGCTCGCTACTCCCTTCCCCTCCCATCCCCCACCTTTCCCCCCATCCCCCCCCCCCCCTCCTCCTCTCCCTCCCCTTCCTCTCTCCCGCCCCTCCTTCTGTCCACTCTTCCCTGCCCCGCATATTCTTTCCGTTTATAGATGCACCATACCATGACGTATTGCCATTTTATTCTGCCTCAAGCCTGTTTTGCATTTTTCGCACGTGTTGCATTCCCATCTATTCCCATCATAATCAATTCGTCCTCAGTGTTTCCTTCATTTGTCCAAGATGTGTGCTATCCATGTCATACAGAACACATGATCCATTCAGCCTGAGTTATCATACATGATATTTTATCCTCGTTACAGTGAGGAGCTGGTGCGCAATATCGAGGCGCTGGAGGCGAATGGAGTCGAGGAGATGAGGGCGATGGTCAACCTGGGAGGAGAGGTCTTTGTGCAAGCGGACGTGTGAGTGGTGGGCGTGGGGATGAGAGGTGTACAGATGGGTTGGGAGAGGTGTAGTGCTATTCCCAGGAGTGGAGGAGATGAGGGCGATGGTCAACCTGGGAGGAGAGGTGTTCAAGCAGGCAGACGTGTGAGTGGATGGGTGTGGGGATGAGAGGTGCGCAGATGGGTTGGGAGAGGTGTAGCGCTAGTTCCAGGAGTGGAGGAGATGAGGGAGATGGTCAACTGGAGGGGAGAGGTGTTTGTGCAAGCATGCTGACGTGTGAGTGGGTGGGTGTGTGGCTGTGTGAGGGAGGGGAATGGGGGGGACGTGTGGTGATGGTTGAGGAGGGGGAGAGAAATTCATTACTGTGCTGGGGGACATGCATTTGTGTCAGTGAGGCTGGGGTTTCATGTAGAGTTCACTGGCTTGACTCTGAAGATGCTGTTGACCCTGTTGACCCTGTTGACCCTGTTGACCCTGTTGACGACTCCCAGATACGATCACAGATTTGTCTCAGTGGGCCTGGGCTTCCACGTGGTGTTTTACTGGCTTAACTCCAGAGATGCTGTGACTCTGTTGACCCTGTTGACCTCTTGACTCTCGTTGACTCGCATCCACCACAGGCCAGACACGTCGCACATGTTCACCTCAGTGGCGCTGGGCTTCCCAAGTAGATTACACCCGGTTTATCCTTGACTTTATTGACTCCCATTGACCACAGGCCAGACACGTCACACATATTAGTCTCACTGGGGCTGGGCTTCCACGTGGAATTCACCCGCCTTGACTCTTGACTCTGAAGATGCTGTTGACGCTGTTCACCTTGGTGACTCCCGTTGACTCCCATTGACCACAGCCCGGACATGTCACACATATTCGTGGCAGTGGGGCTGGGCTTCCACGTGGAGTTCACCCGCCTTGACTCTGAGGGCTCTGTTATCATGTTGACCCTGTTGACTCCCGTTGACCACAGGCCTGACACATCACACATATTCGTGGCAGTAGGGCTGGGCTTCCACGTGGAATTCAATCAGTTTCACTCGGAAGATGTCATTTTCCTAAATCCTATTGACTCCAGACCAGACACGTCACACATATTCGTGTCGGTGGGGCTGGGCTTCCACGTGGAGTTCACCCGCCTTGAAGCCAAGGAGTTTGCCGCCTCCAAGATCGAGCACTTGAGAAAGTGAGTGGCGGTGATGGTGCTTCACGCAGCAACGGGACGTGATGTATGTATCATGACAAGCGTGTGATTTTATTGTTGAATTCTGCCCAGTTTTTTTTACCCTTCTTAACATCCCTCTTTTCATGTATAGTAAATTTTATTCTCTCCTCTATTCTTCTCCATACCTCCCCGCCCCCACTCCCCACCCCCCATCCTGCTCCCACTTCATGCTTGAGCCCCCAAACCCCATTGCCCATAGTGGAAAGAACTAGTAACCCCCTGCCATCCCCCTCCCCACTTACTCAGTTCCCCTCCCCATACCCGTTCCTCCCTTGACTAGTCAAAGATCCCCAATTTTGCATGGTGACTATGTGCATGGTGACTATGTGCATGCAGGCAAGTTGCACGGCACACAGAGAGAATATCATCCATTAAAGCCCACATTAAGCTGGTGAGCATTGCGTTGGGCGGGGCTGCTTACGGTACTCAAACTGGGTTGGGTGGTGTGGTGACTGTTGGGTCGATTAAAAAAAGCAGGGTGCATGGTATCATCCATTAAAGCCCACATCAAGCTGGTGAGCATTAGGCTGGGCTGGGCTGCTTTATGGTACTCAAACTGGGGTGTTTGGGTGATGTGAATGTTGGGTCGTTAAAAAAAAACAGGGTGCATGGTACACGGAAAGAATATCATCCATTAAAGCCCACATCAAGCTGGTGAGGAATGACTGGGCTTGGCGGGGCTGGTTTATGGTACTCAAACTAGGGTGGTTGGGTGGTGTGACTGTTGGGTCGACTAAAAAAGGCGGGGTGCGTGGCACAGAAAGAATATCATCCATTAAAGCCCACATTAAGCTGGTGATCACAGGGTGGCTGCTGATGAACAGACGTGAGGTCCCGGGGTGTCCTCCCTTGGGTGAGGCCCTGGGCGGTCCTTGCTTCGTTCAAGTCTTGATGTGCGTGTTGAGGCCCCTTCGGTCCTCGCCTTTTCTTGTGATTCGTCTCTTGGCGTTTCGTCTCTTGTGGCATTTGATTTCAAGCCTTTCTGATGTTTCGTCTTTTTTTCCGCTCATGGCTGTGGGCAGGTGGTTGAAGGCGTTCGAGAGCTTCTCAACATTTCAGTTGAAGATTCGTGAATCGTGACCACCAGACCAAATGACGTATGGTAGTAGTTCTTTGGTATTCTCAAGAATAGTCCACCAGAGGTGACTTTGAGACGCATCAGAAGCTGCTCTGCTCACCATACGGTATCAGCTGACGAATCATCATGGCAATCGGCCATGTTGATTAGACAGGCAGCAGGTTGGGTTGAAAGAGTTCTAAGGCTTGGAGTGGAGTAAGGAGTTGTGCTGACTGAGAGATGCAGCTGGGATGATGGTGCATGGGTAGTGGGTGAATGGGGTGTAATGGTGAATGGGTTGTAATAGTGAATGGGTTGTAATGGTGAATGGGTTGTAATGGGGTGGTGGATGGATGTTCGAATGCAGCTTGCACTAGATTCTGCTGTACATAAAATGCATCGGCGCGATAGCAACAAGGGATAGTTACCGGCACCTCCTAAGGGGCAACTCACTACAGGCTAAACTAAGGAATATGCTATTGAAAAACATGATAGAAGTGTGATGTTTTCATGATGGAGAACAGCATCATTTAGTAAATCAAGATGGCTAGGGGCAATAGCAAAAGAATCAGAACAAAATCCAGGGGTCGTATGGTAGTATTGTCCAGTATTAGTGTTCAAAGAATTTGGACTCACCACCATGCACACACAACACAACGAATTTGGAAGTTGAGTTGCAACAAGGGTAGTCCAAATACATTGAGTTTGGACTGACCTGGGTTGCTGTTCACAAAGCACGGACATAGAGAAAAGCTTCGAATAGGGACAAGAATTGGGTGGACGAAAGGTACTCTGCTATGTCTCTATGAGGTGACAAAAGGTGAAGAGCATCAAATAGACACTGGTGCCAGATATTTCGAGTCCTGTCAGTAGCAAATATAGAAATATGATGCTGGGTGCTGGAAGGATACGGACGAGGATACGTCATGGTCTTCGCATTAATGGTTCATTTGAGCCATACGCATTGGTAAGTGCATGCTTATGCGCGAGCCATAGCCATTGCTTCTTGGCGAGGGGTATGAGCGAGAACCTGGCTACTAGTTTCAGTAACAGATGCTTACAAATGTATGGCACCTATACACCAAAGCTAGAAACACGCTTAAGCGCCGGGGGTGAAGTTGGTGGCATAGGCCCAGGCGTTGTTGACGGTGGGGTCAGCCAGGTGGTCGGACAGGTTCTCCAGGGGGCCCTTGCCGGTGACGATGGCCTGCACGAAGAAGCCGAACATTGACACCATGGCGAGGCGGCCGTTCTTGAGCTCCTTCACCTTGAGTTCAGCGAGGGCCTCGGGGTCGTCAGCCAGACCCAGGGGGTCGAAGGCACCGCCGGGGTACAGGGGGTCCTCAACCTCTTGGAAGCCCTCAAGGCCACCCACGCGGTAGCTCTCGACGGCACCCATGAGGATGACCTGGGTGGCCCAGATGGCCAGGATGGACTGCGCGTGGATCAGGCTGGGGTTGCCGAGGTAGTCAAGGCCACCCTCGGAGAAGATCTGGGCACCGGCCTTGAACCACACAGCCTCGCCGAACTCGACGCCGTTGTTGGCGAGGAGCTCGGGGGTCAGGCAGCCGAGGGCACCGAGAAGAGCCCAGCGAGCGTGGATCACCTGATGACAAACAAAGCAACAAAAGGAGTTCTAATCAGGTCAGGAACATATTTCGAAATGGTGATACATGCATAGAACGAAGACACAATTATTGCATACGTTTAAATCGCAACAAAGCAACGCACCTCGAGCTCGCGGTTCTTGGCGAAGGTCTCGGGGTCAGCGGACAGACCCGCGGTGTCCCAGCCGTAGTCACCGGCGTACTCGCCGGTCAGGTACGACGGGGGGGAGGAGAACGGGCCCAGGAACAGGTTGCGGTCGGGGCCGTAGAAGGCGCTGCTGGAAGCCGCCTTGGCGGTCTTCCTCATCGTCACACGGGCCTCGACATTGTTCACCTTGGCGGCGAGCTCAGCGCTCTGACCGACGAAGGTGGACGGGAGCACAGCGGCGTTGGCGAGAGCGGCCATTGTCGACTGCGTAAAAGTGTACAACTAAAAGTTGTGTAGGAACCTGGGATGTTTCTGTCGCTGACTTGGTAATCGTGAGAAGACCATCAACATTTGAAGATTTGCGAATTTGGAACTGACCAGGGGGGTGACCGACTGAGATGTGCGGTTGGATGCGGTGAGGTGGGGTGTTCAATGGGAGGAGGAAAGCAGGTGGATGAGGTTGGTGCTTGGCTGGGCGCTGAAAGGTTGGGGACTGCGTGTAGTCCCGAATCCTGATTGGCCGAAAATCGCCATAGGGAACCGCTGGTTGCTTCAGGGTTGGATGGCTTCGATCCGAATCACGAGCGCTATGCGTGCACGACGCGCCAGGCTCATCCTGTCGCCTGATCGCGCATCTGGATAATCAAATTCCACCAATGGCGGAGGTTGACGTGGTCCCATCCCAATAAGGTTGGGCAATGTACACCCTCATCTGGCTGGGAAATCAGGGGCTACCAATGGCTAATGTTGATTTGGTTTGGTCCCAACCCAACGAGGCTGAAGACATTGCCCTTCCTATTACATGCGCCGTTTATAATCGAGATAAACTCTGTCACTTAATTCGAACACTTTCATTCGGGGAAATAAGGTACCGTATGTGGGATTCATAGTTGGTTATTAAGAAAAGCCATGCACTGCTCCAAATGATTCATCACATCCCATCATGAAATTGAATGGTATCACCAATTGCCCTCCTCGTCGCCCCCACAACGGCCGCCGCATCCACCTCTTGAGACGTCACACCAAACTCACCGGTATTCTGTCGCTTCCCGGAAACTCAAACTCCGCAGGAAACTCCTCCCTCGGGTACACCTTCAGCGCCTCCCCATTCACAATGCCCCCGCCCTCTATCGCAACACGATGGTTGTTGAGAGGCATGGCAACACCAGTGTCACTCAGTGACCTGCTGAATGAGTGAACAACTACTTCACTCAGTGATACAGTTGTTTCTTTCAAGAGCCCCATGATTACATCGATGGGTTTAGGAGGAGCTTATTGTCGTTGTCATGACGTGACTTGGGCAATGAGTGCCACGGTTGTCTCTTTGGACAGCCCCATGACTGCATCGATACCCCCCACCTGGAGAAACAGCACAGGGAATGATTGCCAGAAAGAGGAAAATACAGGGAAGAACATTGAAGCCGTACCAAAAAAGAGGAAGAAACGGGAAAGTGGGGTTGGGACACACACCCAACTTCAAAGCATAAAAACTAGGGCCATTTTTAAATGCATTCCACATCCCTGCATCTCCTCTCATCACCTTCTTCATTCATGCGCCCATTCCTTCTTCGTGTAACTCGTCTTAGAATGGTTCTCCATTCCTCACCCGTTCACCTCTCCCCCCTCTCCTACCCCCTCCTTCCCCCCTCCCCCCTCCCTGTTCCCCACTGCCTTCTGCCCCCTCTTCCTGTCATCAGCAGCACTAGAATGCTCCCATGGCCCATCATCGCACCCCCTCTCCCCTCCCTTCTCTCTCCCTCCCCCTCACCCCCCTCACCATCTTCTCCACCAGCGGCGCCAGCAGGGGACGCTCCACCACCACCCCTCTGGCATGAGCCGTCACTCTCAAGTGCTCGCCAAACTCACCATTGCACCTCTCCCATCTCCTCCTCCCACCTCTTCCCACTCCCCTAACCTCTTCCCCATCACCCCCCTCACCATCTTCTCCACCAGCGGTGCCACCTGAAAATGCTCCACCACGTGCCCTCCGGGATGAGGTAAGAGTCACTGAAAAATGCTCCATCACACCTCTACTCTCCCGACCCTCCCCCGTCATCCCTTGAGCCTCTCTCCTCTATCCGCTCCCCCCTCACCCATCTCACCATCTTCTCCACCAACGGCGCCACCAAGGGATGCTCCACCATGAGCCATCACATAGAAGTTTCAATGCAATGACCCATCATTTGCATCATAGTCCTCTCTCTCTCCCTTCCCCCAATCCCCCTCACCATCTTCTCCACCAGCGGCGCCACCAGGGAATGCTCCACCATGAGCCCTCCGGCATGAGGCATCACTCATTTCCCCACTCCACTTCTCCCTCTCCCCTCTCCCCTTTCCCCTCTTCCCTTCCCCCAATCCCCCTCACCATCTTCTCCACCAGCGGCGCCACCAGGGGATGCTCTACCATGAGCCCTCCAGCGCAGTAGAAAATGTCGCCCTCTGCCACCTGGTGGGCATGTGGCACGGTGCAGAAGGATGCAGGGTGGTACAGTGAGGTGCGAGGTGCAGTGAAGTGGTGCAGCGGCGTACAGTGCGGTGGAGGGGGGCGACATGGCATGGCATGTCGAGCAGGAATTATTTTTTCTCTTCTCTTCATCAGCAGCGCCACCCGGCGCACTCAGAAACGCCTCCCTTTGACATGCGGGATGATAGATCCAGAGCGGTGCAAAAGGGTGCATTGCAGAGCG